ACTCAAAAGCGGTTTCGCTGTGGAGTTACTTTAGAATTAGTCACTGTACCACATTGGGTGGCTGGCGTCTAGGCAAAATCGGTAACCCGAATACCTTTCGTGTGCTAGGTACACATAGGTAATCTGCTTTGTGCATCGTGTCTTCAGTCAAGTTCAGGGAGGTTTTAGTCGCTCTCTCTTGCCACTTTACTTCTGAATAGTCGTGGTCGCCTTGGGTCTTGAGGCATATGACGTGGGATTCGTTGCTATGGTGAAAATAAGTTTTTTTTGGCACTAGTTAGAAAAATCAAGGGAGTTTTTAAGTGCGTATATTGCAAATAAGCCCGAAACCCTATGACTTGTGTTGCTTATTTGTCGAAAATTCTACAGTTAATATCAGTAACTACTGCAGATTCTACTAAACGCCTTCCCTTTATTCTAATAATTTTTGACAATTTTTGATATTGTGTAACATTTTTAGCCCTTTTAGGAAATACCTTATTTTCGTAAATACATGACCGATTTTAATATTTAGTACTTACTTTGGTTTGATTCTGCCTTTTTATCACAACTCTAAATTTACCTGTGATGGTTTTAGGTAGCTCTAAATGTGTGACTTAACAAAACTTGTCATGGAAATCGCCTTTGTTACGTTAGTCTATAGATCCTTTTTTTAAATCACCGTAAATGGTACCACTATTTCAATTGGTGCCTTCACGCTGTTCGTTTGAGTCGCAGGGTAGTCATGGTCGATGGGAATAGGTAGGTTTGGTCTAAGACTGACGTTGTAGGGACACTAAGGGAGGTGAGATATGACCTTTTTGCAATATAAGTACCAGCTGGGGATGATGCCACTGAGGTAGAAGATAGTTCTCTGGCTGAAATAGATTACGATGAGAAGAAACGTTTTCTGGTTGATTACTTAAGGCAGAGCTAGTATTTTCTTACCATTTTCTTAGGCTTCCTAAGCCAATCAAAAGGCGAGTAAATGCCTTAAAGAACGTTCTTCATGACTATGTTAAGATTGAAACTCAATTTTACCAGGAAATTTTTGAAATTGAAAGAAAGTTTTTGGCACGCTATGATGTGTTTATGGATAAGGTATTCATTTTCCAAGTGGCGCCTAAAATTTTCCAGCGTAGCGCCATTATATCTGGGGAAATCGAACCCACTGATGAGGAGTCGACCTGGAATTATTGTCAAGAGGATGAGTTAGCCGAGGACCTCACTAAGCAGCACATCGAATTACAAGAAGGTCAGTTAAACCTTATTTATTCAGATCTCTTCTTTTGCAGTTTGTACAAGTGTATGTTTCCCTTGAAGTGAATTGTTTCCATTTTTTGATAACCAAGTATTAATTTAGTTCATCTTTATTCACCAAGCAGCCATCCTTTTGCTCTAGCTCTTTGTCTTTTTTCCGTTGAATATAGATTTTAAACCTGAAGATACCTCAAGCTGTAAAGGGATACCGAAATTCTGGCTTAAAGCGATGCTTCACGCTTCTCCTACGGCGGAACTGATCAAGGAAAAAGATCACCCTATCTTAGAGCACCTAACTGATATTCGAATCAACTTGAATACTGGTGATTCCGAAATGGGGTTCACCATAAACTTCTACTTCTCTCCAAACGAGTATTTTAATGAGGAAGTGCTCTCTAAGTTCTACTACTTCGATAACAAACCACCTTCCGAGAATCCTCTTCTGTATGATGGTCCACAGATCGTGCGAGTTCGAGCCTCACCTATTACTTGGAAGCCCGGGAAAAATGTAACCGTCAAGTTTATGAGAAAGGTAAAGAAGCACAAGAATCGCAAAGAGGTCCGCACAATTACGAAAACTGTGAAACAGGATTCTTTCTTTAATTACTTCGATCCTCCTTATGAATCGCTAACCGATGAAGATCTGGATGAGGATACTGCGGAGTTACTACAGGAGGATTTTCGCATCGCCAACTTCATGCGAGATGTGTTGGTCCCCCGGGCTGTTTTGTTCTTCACTGGTGAGGCTGTTGAAAGTGATGTAGGTTAACCTGCTCTCCCGAGCGTGTTGTTTTTATGTAAGTCGTTTTTGTCGTAATGAGCCTTGATTCATTTTATCGTAGGATGAATGTGATGATGAAGATGAGGACGATGATGATGTTGATGACAGTGACGATGGCGACGACAATGACAGTGATGTTAGTCGAAGTTTTAATCATTAAGTAGTAATGAATAGCAGTAGACTTTACCGTGGGATACTGAAAGACCTAATGCTTTCACTCATGTTTAAAATTGCCTTGGGAACGCACTACAGGGGAAGGTAAATAGTAACGAGCGATTGAAGCTACTCATTCCCATTGATTCGCTTCCGCCTGTGTGGCCCCTCAGTCTTCGTCACAGCTTTTTAGGAACCAGATTTTCGCGACACCCACATTCATTGAATACCTTTCAAATGAATCCCATGCTTACCTATTTCATTTGCTTTTAGGAGGAATTTCATCGTCAAAAGGTAGATTCATTTTTATAGTGTAAAACTTGATCCTTTTGACCATTGGCAATCTGATTTCTTCCTTCTAGAGTTATCGCAACAAGAAAGGAGGTCATGGCGACCTTGAAAAAGCCTCCGATGAAAAGCCGGAGTGCCAGCAAAGCTGAGTCAGATCCACTAACTTGGTCCCCTCCAACACATGATTACATGCTTTTTCAGTAATAGAGCATTTAAACCCACCTACTTTTAATGTTGACCAATTTCGCAATTCACAACGGTGTTGAGGAATTTGTAGCGAAATGCGATAGTGTTCCTGTCGCAGAAGACCGGCGGCTTCTGCACTGGGTATGAACAATTGGTAAGTTGTGAATGCTAGTTTTGAGGGAACTTACAATCCACGGTTGGCACGTAACGACGGAGTAAGAATAGCGTGCAATTTGGGGGGGAGCTCTTGTTATTTCTAAGTAGTGGAGGTTGAGGTTACTCCGCGTGCACCACGAACTACCATGGTAGGGATGTCGTTGGTGGAACCAACGGCTCGTATCACTCAAGATTGTTTGCCTCACACTGCATGGACCGGTGCCATACAAGTCGGTTTGCTAACCTGAAGTTCTGGCCTTGCGTAAGCGCATGCAGGTGGAGTGGGGTGCATTTTGTGCAGCTGTGGGATGGTGGTTTTCACTCGTAGAACTCGACCCAAACATCATGAAGTCGAAGAGGTGGCCTGACATTTGCCACTGGTTAAGTGCACTTTAATAAAATTACCGCATACTCGAGGGGTCAACCTGGACGTACATTCGGAGGTTACAAATTTCGGACCACAAAGGGCGGGAAATGGATGAATAAAAATACATTGATAAAAGGCAGGCACGCAAGAGTCTCATTAATAATTCGGAAGACTTTTGCAGAAAGACGCGCGTTACTGGTTACTTTTCCGTGGAACAAAAGGAGGGAGAAGTGCATCAGATGACATTCACTATTGGGTTCGGGAAGTCTGATTGTAGAAATGGGGTGGTAATTCCCAAACGAATTCGTCGCTTGTGGCACAATTGTCTAGGCGCGAAAACGGTACGGTGGGAAGCATAACATAATGTTAGTGAATGGTGAGGTGATATTGCTAGTCACTATTGGTATTGTCAGGCTTCTTATGCCACTTTCATTACCCATTAAGCTAGGTTGACATTTCTGTCAACTTATGAAGATAAATAAGGCAACTTTTCAGTTTACCTCAACATTTTCACTACCATTGCTGAAAATGAAGAAAAGAACCCACCAAGAAACAAGGGCAGCTCTCGCCGTGTTGTGTCCACACGAACACAAAGGTTGGAGTAGACGTGAAGGATATGCTTTGTCTAAATGCAGGGTACAGTTAAAAAAATACAAGGTTGTAAATTACAAACAACAAATATTTGAGCTCAAACACCTCTATTAGACTGTCAAGCAATAAACAGACACCTTAATAGACGTTATTCTCAAAGTAATCTAGCTACCTTCACCTACTTATTCAAAAGTGAAAAAGAAAACAGAAGACGCTGGGATTGTCTGTAAACTCAGAAATACGTTGTCGTCGATCTTCTAGAAGCTTCAATTGATAGCTGCCTAATCGGGCCATATCCAGCCGAGGTGTACCCTGAATGCACTGCCAACCACTCAAAGGCCAAGGCTAATCAGCTACCACAAAAAAGCATAATTGAAATCGCTTTAACGCATACCCTCTGCATCACAGCTACCAGGTGAGTACACGCTGACCGTACCTCCTTTGTGCGCCCACTACATCGTGGCCAGCAAAGACATCCACCCCGAGGCCTTTACCTATCACCTATCGGGCTGGAGGCTTCGATAGGATCCAGGAGCTCGTGCGTAAAAACTAAGTCATTAAATTGGCAACCCAGTTTGTACCGGTCGTCAACGTACTTATAACTGGTGTCGATCCCCTTTGGAACAATAGATTCAAAATTTTGCTCTTTTTTTGATTCAGTAAAAGGGTTACCAAGTATACAACACATATGTTTAGATTACGCATCAAGAAGTTGGCTTGTGGGTTGACCCACCGACGAGGTATGGGTCCACTCACACCCAAATGGTGGAAGAGCGAACCGACCTACCTGCTCATCGTAGACGAACTTTTGGAAGGCACCGGCGTCACCGTCACACTGACCTAGAATGAGGTTGTCGTGGATGTGCCGTGCACCCAAGCAGCCCACAGAGGCAGTCAGCTCGCCTGCTGTGGACACCGAGAAGGTCTGCTGTGCACTGCCACCACTACCACTACCAACACCGCGACACGCCACCGCGGCGATCATCTGACCCTTACGCCCACCGCCAGTATCGAAGCACAGTTCGTGAACTGGGTTCCGTATCTGTGGTGTGGTGGCAGTTAACAAGAAAATTTTATTAGTTTACAGCATAAACCATAGTCTACTCATCCGTGTTGGTGAGAGGCTTGAGTTCGAGCAGAAGCCGTGAGTAACGAGTGTTTAAACTTTACACTACAATGTTTGAATTATGGAATGCACACTTTTGGGAAGCATTCTTTCACCCACATTGTATTTTTTTGCAGCATTATATGCGCCTTCCAATAATACGGGCACACTTTCTAGAGGACACTTTTACTAGGCTGATGGTGTGACCCGAGTATGACAAGATGTAATGATAAACTCAAGATGTTCTAAAATATTCCAAAAACTAAAACACGACTGAACATCAACGTCGGGTTAGCAAACAACGCGAATCGCGCGCACCTGGCCAAGCCGTGTGATGTGTGGCCGTATGTTGGATTCAGGAAAGATGTTTCGGAGGTACCAGGAGAAACTTTTGCACTTGAGGCGTCGTCGGAGGGCAATTCTCTCAGACACATCACCGTATTCAAATGTTCGTAGAGCTTTTTTGTGAAAGAAAATACAAACAGCATGGGGTACATAGAAATCGAACAGTCATGGCCAACGGACATAGACGTGCGATATCAGCTCAAGGCCACTCAACAAGAGTATAAGCAAGAGTTCTGGTTTGAGTAACTTTACCACTACTCACCATTCCGTTAAAAACCACATGACACCCCACTTCTAGACTCGAGACTAAATAAGCGTTGTAATGAGAACACTAGAGCAAATCACAAATTAATACGTCGATGGGACATTCCGGAAAGCACAGAGCAGAGAAAATAGGTTCAAAACCATCTATTGATAGGCTTTGTATTGTCGATCAACCGCAAGCAGTAGAATACCAACATCATTTTCATTCTTTCTAAGTAAAACAAGGTCATGTATAGACCAAGCCATTCAACAAGTTTTGGGGATAATAACTAAAAGTGTAACGTATCTGCTCCGACATTAAACTGCTAAGGCGCTGTACGCACTCTACAATATTTTGGTGCAGGCACATTAAGGGTATTTTAGCTACGAAATAGAGAGGAATAAACGGGTCCATATTGAGACCGATTTACTGCGAAGTGGTAAATATCAAATACAGAGATAGATGAGAGCTATTAGTTAATGAGCCTTTTCTTCGCAACCAAATTGTGAACGCGATCGTGAGGTGCTGATAGACCAGAGAGGAGGCGGACGACTAACAGGGGTCAAGGGTGAAGGGCAACTCGATGAACTCGTCTAACCAGACGCGGGCCGTACGGACGCGGTTACGGTGGAGGACGTGGGTGACACCGCCAGGCCATGAGTACGGCGAGACCTTACGGAAGACGTGGCCCACCCGACTGCAGGGTACGATGAGCAGCTCGCCTCCGCACTGCCACACGCGCAGCGACATCTCCACGTTCTCACCGCCCCACACCTCCATGCCCTCATCGTAGGCGCCCAGCTGTGATAGAGGGCAGGAAAACGAGTAACCTCAACAGGTATTTTACGTCATGGTATGAAATACCTCTAGTAGGAACACACAACGGTCACACAGTCTTTGAATAGGTAGCGAGCAGAGGATTAAAGATTTTCTTTCAACCCAAGCAGATACAAGAGACTTTATTGATTTAAAGCGGTAATGACAATGCAAACGTCCTGTAAACTTAAGGAATTAAATTAACTGAACGAAGTTGTCTAAGATTAAATTACACCAAACTTTGTTTAATAATTTTTTTCAGGCATAGCTATTACATTTCCTGAATGAAATAATTTTGAGTTATGAACTATTAAATGCCCATATGGATAACTCAACATAAAAGCGTCTAACCAACAAATATAACAGTAAGATTGTTACCCAAAATGACCTCGTAGGTCTTTTTCATTGAAATGCGTTACAAAAAAAGAAGTGAAACCGAGCCAACGAATTAAAAGCAAGTGAAAGTAGAATATTTTCAAACAAAGCGTCGCAAGTCAGCGCAAAAGATGAATGCTACTTGCTCTATAGAAGTAGTCTCGTCGAATGAGAAAAAGTCCACCGGCCATTGCAGGCGTGCGAATGGGCATGGTGGGGTTGTGATGGCGCCTGAGTTCCTCTCGGGGAGAGACGACATCCCAGTCGAAGAGGAGGTCCCAACCGAATACACCCCACGTCTTTTCCGTGCCTAGGATGCCAATGAGGCTAGAATCAATTTGATGTAGTTCACAAATACTCCGACGTTCACTGAGACCGTGCATCGTTTAGTTACAATAACACCTAAGTCAGTGAAAATTGATAAAGACCATTCTTCAAAAGAAAATTGTCATTTGAGATGAAACAAGAAATTCGGCGTAAAATATTACATGAAAAACAATGGAGGCTTAAGTATGAATAATTAAAAACAGATCCAAAAGATTGCCGCAGCTGTGATGTATGCTATGAAAATGCGTGCAAATTTCGGTATCTTCGCAGCATGCGAAGTAACATGCTGGAAAAAGATAACGCAAAGCCATGTACGGTTATTATGAACCCTGAGAAGTGCTAACACTGAATGATAGCTTAATCCCATCTTGTAACATGGTCATTACGTGTTTTTTGCACAAAATGAACAAAGCCACGGTGAAATCGGCAACTGCAATTCGTTTCAGTAAAAGTTAGGTGTGAAATGATTATTCCATAAATAACAAGAGCCAATAACTAGTACCGTAATTAAATAATAGGGATGTTTCGGACTACGAATTGGGAATGAAAAATTGCACAATATTTGCATTGCAGCGAAAGACCTGCTCTCACTGAACATAACTACACATATTTTTTAATCTCTCGCAGTTCAGCTACCTCTCTGGTTGAACTAAAGTGCAGTCTGTTAGTCTCTCCATACATTAATACTAAGCCTGCTTTCAGACTAGTAATATTTAAAAATACCCTCAGAGAGAACACGGATGCTATAGAGTGAATGTAAGCGAGGCTGTAAAATACCACCACAAAGTAAATTGATGGAGGGAGAGAAGGGGAAGGAGGATACATACTTTGGAGGTACTCGAAGGTAGTGTCGGAGATGACATCGATGGCAGGACAGACAACGGAATGAGGGTTAATGAAAACGTGGGCAATGAGGGGTTCCAGCCAACCCACGGTTACCTCGCAGTGGGCATCGAGGAAGGTGAGGGTGCTACCCCGCGCCTCCCATGCACCCGCGAGACGCGCCCGAATGAGGCCAGAGCGCTCGTGTAAGCGTAGCAGTCGTACCCGCGCTCCCAACGCGTCCACATAGGTCTCCAGGCTAGCACCCAGGTAGTCTGTAATTTACGGTCTGCGGATTTAGTCAAAAATCATTACTTCTGCATTGAAAATGTTTCCGAAATGGCGCCCATGTGTTTTAAATGGGTTATTCATTCACTCAGATCAAACACTGAAAATACTAGTTGAAAACTGCTATTACATCGATTTAAGTTTCCCTCTTTATTTTCTATCTACCGGCACATCCACCACAACTCTGCAGTCGAAACGCCTCCTATAAGTCTGCCAATTCCTTTGCATCATCACACCCATTGGCTACACCATAGTCAATCAGATGAGGATGGATGAAAGTGACGTAGTGAGTGACTGCATTGACGTTACCGCATTACACTCGAAGCCTTTTCCATCACCAACCTCCTGCTTATGAGTTGGATCTATCAAGATATTTTATGACTGCTCAGACGGCCGATAGTACTTGCTTTATTTTAATGCTCGAATCGGCGGCCACGATGTATGGGCGCACTCCCTCAATGTGGAATGCCCAAATTCGAGGAACCAAGCATCACCTACTGCCCAACTTGTACAAACGTAATAAGGAGAAAGCGCTTCCACGTTAGTACCAAAATATTTCGTGCGGTACTCATTCACTCCACCAGCAAAACCTTTCCTTTAGTAAAAAAAATAAACTTAATAAATGAGAAAATCTCACAAAAAAGCATAAAGACGTGCAGAGAACACAGGCAAATATAGCGTACATAGATAGTTGGAATAAGCAAAGTCAAACTAACACAGATGGCGTTAAAGTATCATTTTTTAAAAAAGGGTAATCAAAAATCGCACAAATTGCAAACGCAAGCAAATATGTGAGGCACCAGAAAAAGCATGACTACTAAGAAAAGACGTGATTGTGTGTAACAACAGCGAATTTTGGAACTACACACTGCAAGTATCCTCTTTCCTATTCCAAAACAGAGCCTTAAATATGAAACAACCTGTAAATGTTTAAAATGATAATCAGTTCACCTACCAAGCCGATACCCCTAATGGCGAAGAAGTTTAAACCGTTGAGAAAAAGTCTCCACCAACACCACGTATTAAAATAAGAACATCTATCTACCATATCGCAAATCTTTATTTTTTGGGTCGAGAACAATGACCATCTACTCTAAATTAAATGAAAAGGCGGTTTCATACCGTCTCAAGCCCACCTGTCTACGTTCAGATAATATAGACAAATCGTTAACTGAACGTGATATCAAATACTACAAGTTTCATCAGTTCTCGATGCAGAAGACGAATAAAAAGATTCGGAAAACAACATAAATTATGCGTAAGATATTCTGGATTTAGTCTCTTTTCATACAAATCCGAGAAATCGTTTTTTTTTTTTGGATGAGAATACAATTACACACAAACTATGACAATGTCAGTAAAGATATTTTAGAAAAATAGTGACTAAAAACAGTAGAAGCGCAAAAAGGCTGCAAGTCATTCCGAGATATTGATTAAACCTGGGGTTCAGTGCTATTAAGAAAACAGGAGTTTCGTCAGATGACTGAAAATAAGAACTGTGTTGTAGTCCTTTAGCACTCACAGTTTGAACGAATATGGGCATACTAGGAATGAGTCAAAAATAGAACAACAGCTATAAAATATGCAAAAATTAGGGTTGGAAAACAATACTCAGAAGTGAATTTTTTTGGGCTGTTATGTATGCACATAATTGCAATGAACCACAGAAACAAATGCCATAAAATGCTTGATAATTTCCCCAAGTTCATCAAAAGCTCGGAAGGAACCAGTTGCAATTGTTTTGCCAACAATTTACAGTGAGCGGTGCAGTAAGGAAAACTCTTTTGCTTGAATGAAGGGAGAACAGGCTGATCAAAAGTAACAAACCTACTGTCGTAAGCTTAGTGGTGCATGTAGAGGTGTTGGATCAGTGAAATCTACGTCACGCTAACATAAACAGAAAAGGTGATGACAAGGCCAGAGCGCATGACTATATTGAACTAAATTGTCAACGTGGTGTTGTGCCGGTTGTGATAATGTTTACAAACCCCAACTTATGCGCTTAATTTTTTCCGTCTATTTGTCCATCATACATTCAAAAACAGAGCTGCTTAGTGTAAACTAAAAATGGTAGAACTGTTACTTAATATCAATAAGTAATCAATCGGGAAGAAAGTTGAATTCCAATAGAGTTAACAAAAATAGGAAATATTGACAGTATAACTAAACTACCACCCTATCCGCGCCATTTTAGCAAATTCTTCGCACTTCCCTTCTTTCGGCAGTAAGAATCCAGATTTTACTCAACGAAATATAAAATTATTCCTTATTCAATAACATTTTTAACCTGCCCGTTGCATAAAAAAACAATCTAATAAATGCATAATTTTATCAAACCATCATCAATGTCACTTTGGAGAATGCAAAAACACCTCTAAATAAAGAGGAAAAACGAAAAAATTCGTGGTGATGGAGGTGGAATAAACCATCAAAATGTAGAATCATCAAATAAAATAACTTACCGCGATCACTAGCGTCGTCAACGAGAATAACCTCCTGCAGTAATTTCGGTGGTGATCGATTGAGGACGGAGTGGATGGTGCGGAGGAGGGTGGACCAGGCCTCATTGTGGAAGACGATAATCACACTCGTGTTTAGACCCGACTTCTCCGCCATTTTCGCCAGGTCACTGTCTCGACATCTGGTAGAAAAGGTGGCAGGCACACACTACCCATTTGTACTCTTTTGCCCGGCTATTAACAAGACACAGGGATCTAGTTTTGCGACGCTATGGGAAACAAAATTATTACAATAGATTTTTAACTAAACTCAGAGAACACTTATAGGAAAAGGATGGAAACTGGCGTTTGACCAGTCTGTCAGTCAATCATTTTATGTGGCTAATAGTCTAATGCGGTTAAAAATTAGCCAATTTGCCTAAGATTGCATTGATAGCTTTTCATGTTTGTTCGATAGGCAAATAAAAGTTAAATATACGAAATGCTGCGAAATGATGTACCCCAGCCTCGTAACACAAAAATTATCTGAAAATACTTTGTTACAAACATTTAAACAGCTTAAACAGAACAACAAAACTGGGTTGTTGAGGGATCTGCTCGACAAAAGCATATATTCTTCAAAATGGGGAAATTGCCTTCAGACATGTTTTGGTTACCAGAGTGTAGTTAGGTGCGCATGAACAACGTGCAATTTTAAATTCACCGAAAAAGCCATGGACGAAAGAAAAGATGCGCAAACCGGGTAGGCGACTTGTGCAGTTCAATAGGCACGCAAGATTACGTTGGGGGAGGGGGGAAGGGGAGGATATTAATCATCCACGGATCACAGACGGAATTGGTGAAAGAGTTTTCACAATACCAAACACGCAGCAGTGAAAAACGAACCCTAGGGGGAGACGGTTGGGTAGTTTTTACGCGTTTATCATGCAACGAAGGCGGTGCTGCAGTCACTAATGTAACAAAAAAATGAACACAAAATATTTGCTTATGGAAAAAAGACAAGAAAACAAAGTCGAACAATGAAATAAATAATACTAAGGCGAACGACCGAAAACAGTTGTGAAATAAACACATTGCAAAACATTAGTCAAAATCAAAATTCAAAATTTTTTAAAAGGAATTGGAGAATTTAGAACAGAAGGGCTCAAAGTTTACAGAAAGTTCTGAGTGATTTTGAGAGCTGTGGAAAACAAAACTCAAGGCATAGTAGAAACAATATTTGTTTGGAATCGAATCGGTCACGATCACCAATGCCAACCAAGCAGTTTGGAATGGAAGAGCAGGAAAAGACTATGAATGCAATGATACAAAATAGGGAAGGAGCATTAAAAAGTCGAAAAAATTGCGGACAAGAAAGAAACTTCCCTCTTAGAAAAACCCACACCAGTCCCAATTCACTACAGCATTTTACAATTTTCTGACAAGAACTTTTACTGTAATAAGGAGCTGCAGGAAGCAATAATTTTTACAAAGAATATCGACCTCTAAAGGATATTATTAAGCCATAATGAAATTGGGATGCTTAGGAACCACTGAAGTGGGCCTGAAATTATGTTTAACTGGTGTCAAAACTACAAGATGGTTCTGGAGTAGTTCACAGACAGTTCACAAAGAAAATGTGTAGAATACTCATTGTTTCAAACAATTTTTATGAGATACTAGACCTAGAAGAGAACACCGCTGATATACAAATTGCCGCTTCTATTGGTAAACTATATATTACCGCTTCTGTTAAAAAAAAGTTACTTATAAAAGTAATCAGAATCATAAATATTGTACTGACAACATGGCCTCTATTTTTGAGGTATATTCAAAGAAGCCGTTTTGAGAGGAATTTAGACACTTAGAGTGAATTGCACCACATGGTACCTTGCCAAGGGTAGCAGTCAGGTAAAGCAGTAATTAGCGAAGGTAAATGCACGTCCCTGATGCAACACCAATCAAATTGACGGAAAAATTAAAACTGATGACACATTTTTAGAGCAATAGAAGGTTGATAGGAGCAGGTAATAATTATGACCAGGCAAATTTTGCCAAAGTCAGGCCTCTCATGAAAAAACGGGCGAACTGCATAGCCGATTTGACTTAAGACTTAGGCAATACAAAGTGATGACTTCCAACACAGTAAATAGTGCAAACAAGAAAGCTACAATTTTAGATAATGAAAAGAGCAAGAAAATAAGCTTACGATGGGTGTCGCACGTCGGGGAGGGAGCGATTGACACTAATGAGATTACTAACCACAACATCAAACTGATTGAGGCCGAATTTAGCTTTCGAGTCGGCCATGAGGCTGGCGGGAAGACGAACAGGCTTACCGCCCTCGCCCAGAAGGGACAGTGAGCCGCCACCGCCACCCCCAAGGCGAGCAAGGAGCGCCGCCACGCCCCGACCACTCAACCCACCGAAGAGGCCACCCTGATACTGCTGTTTCTGAAGATCCTCCTGGTTTCCTTTCTCGGTCGCGTCGTCCGCTAGTGGGGAAATCACACCCGACTTAGCAATGTTGGCGGGTCAAATCAAGCAATAGGGTTACAACGGATGTCTAGAGTGAAATGTTCCATGTTTTGTGTTAAATCCAACGGAAGTAGTAAAGATTTGACCGAAAAAAAATTTACCACCAGTAACGCTAAAGGTCAAAAGACTGGAACAGAGTAGCAGGAAAGCCTTGTATAATTGCGAAGAAGTAAATGCTTAGATTCAAAGCCGGGGACTTGTACAGAGGTTTAAATATTTGGGGCCAAACATCATGCGAATAAACGTATTGGGGGTTATGCCATCCCTTATGCAACTACACACGACCCAATCACAAAAGTTCTGCAAGTAAGAAAGAGTATGTAGAACTGATAATGGATGCAGACTTACAGGGAGTTATCAGGAAATGCAAAAGAAAAAGCTGGGTACATATCCAGAAGATGGAAGTGAGAAGCACTATCTTTAAAACGAGGCCCTTATCGATCGATCTCATTGTTCAATACAAGCGAATGTTCCTGCGATCCTCTCCGAGTGCCGTCGAAGGCGTCAGATTACGAGCCTAGACAGTTAAGAACGATACACTTAATGCAAACCTACATTGTAGTACATAATGGGACGATCCTATGACAGTGACAAAACTAGTGCAACCTCCAGATATGGTCAAATAAGCAAAGGCTAACCTCTCAAAATGCGAATACAGTACCGCTTTAGATTTATTAAAGTGGACGACAATATTACAACCTAGACACTTTTGCAGGAACAGGAAACATGAAATCACAATAACGGGTTTGAATTAGTAAGATACTGGAAATTCATAAAATGCTTAACAACGTAGTTACGTATCACACACCAGTGGTCTAAAGCATGCGTCACAGCCATTTCAAATAGAAGAAAAGTACCTTCTTAAACACATTAAAATGTTGAATTTGAAGCTTACCTCCGGTTCGTGCATAAATTGTAATCAACTCCACCACATGTGTGACGTCTAAGTGCCACGTTCGAGACGCTTATGTTATTTTACGTTAAGCAAGGATAATTAGAGCGTACACATCTCTTTTCAAACAAGAATTGACGAAAAGCTCCCAATGAACACAAAGATGAGAATCCCCGTACTGAATTCTAGTGAGGATTTGAATATTTGGCAGCAACTTCAGCAAGCCGAACACACCAGGATGTCCCATAATTTACAATATGGACTTATACTAAGTTGGTACGCAATCACGACGCATCATTCGCAAAAGAGAGATCTATATCCGAAAGCTCAAAGAGCAACGGAACTACAAAGTAGGTTCTTACATGTTTATTTCCAGATATGACATGACAAAAACAAAAGGAAACTATTCAAATTAAGAAACAGTAAATACATATGTCCTTCAGGGTGATAAGGAGATAAAAGAGCATACCGAAACCCATGTTTTTATACAAAAAATGAAAACTGACGACCCACACGGGCCTCAACGAGCACTACACGAAGAAAGTCTGCGTTTTTTTTATAAACGATGTTACTTGAAACTCACGCAAAAGGCAACGTTAGGGCCAGCTTAGCCCTAGTCTGCACGCAATCAATGTGAGTGCTAGGCAAAGACGAAGCCTGCGATAAGCACATCAGAACCCATCAAGGACGATGCAAAAATCAACACTAACCGTTAGCCTTTAAGTAATGCGAAGCAGTAAAACAAATATATTTAGGCACTTTAAAATAAAAATTTTAAATAAGTTTGGCTATTTTATAATTACTTGTCAAGCTTTTGCCATGATAGGGCGAAATATGTGGCTCTAAAGGATGCAAAACATACTGCATTTTTAAGAATTTGTTAGTATATCACAGAATTTCTTGCCTTTAAAAGCAAAATATTGTTTGTGGTGAGTTTTTTCGAAGCAATTGCTGATCTGTAGCATATTAAAATCATCTCTTTGATGCGTTTTCGAGGTGCTAATTACTCTCTCACTCCTGCTCACATATTTGTTGCTATAAATTTGTCGCAAAAATGCAAAAATTATCACAAAGTATCTGTGTTCAGTTTTTCATGTTTTTTATCACTGCATTTATACGTCCCGGTTTTTCTAATTAACATCGATAGCGTTGGTGCTCGTCACAGGGTTTCTTACATCGCGATGAATGTGAATACAAAGGCTGTCACAAGGAAGGCCAAAGAGCTATTCCAGCAAAAATCCTTCGATGCATGTCTAAAGGAACTGCAGGTTTTCGGAACCCACTTACCAGTTTTCATATTTATCATTTTGTTGAGACAAAATTGTGAAGCTAGTTTCCGCATTCCCAAATAATTCGCAGATAAATACGGTAACCTTTAATGTCCTAGAGCGAGTTTATGAAATATTATCCAGTTGGCAAAGCATCAATTGGAGTGGTTTTCTGGATTCTTAACGGCAACTACGTCTTTAACTTCTGCTTTTCTTCAGATTACCTGGGTTCATTGGTTTTACTCGACTTTGTCATTTTCTTTCCAAATTTTTTTTTGTGCTCTACTTTCTGTTTATCTTAACTAGCCTATTCTCGATGGAGAGGGTGGCAAAAATATCGCCTGTCTCCTTCTTGCTTCTGCCTGCTATGATAATTTGGGGAAAGAAGATAAAGCCGTGGATACCGTTTACAAAGTTCTTAGTCTGGATAATAAAAACCCAACTGCCTGGCATGTAAATGGGATATGTTACCCTTAATTGAGAATCTTGCCTTTTTTCTTGGAGTCATTTTAGTTCCTATTTCAGGGACTTTCCAAATTCTGTTTGAAAAATTCAAACCGTTTCTATTCACTTGCCGTTCAGTGTTTCATGCATCTGATACCGCATTACACAAGGTAGTATTCTTTTTCACTTTTCTCTAACCTCTTCAAGTGAAGGGATCGCAAAGAAACGTCTTGAATGCCTGACAAATCTTATTCAGATTCTCGTGCGATACCGCTTAGAGGTGAGTGAACTGGTGTCTTTCTTTTTTGATATATTCGCTTGTGAGGAATCTTTATCTGAAGATTTAACTTGAAATAACTGGTAACGCACTCCTAGTTTATGTATTCCTATACAATCACTGGGCTTGGTCGGAAGCTTATTAAAAGTATTCCAAGCCCCCTATAAAGTATCCTGGAAGATGTTATTTTCATTCGTCTTAGATTTAAATTTAGAGCTTAATGGGAGCAGGGTTTGTCTACTCGGCTTCTAATGAAAAATCGAGAGGATATTTTGCGACTCCGTTTTATATTAAGGTTCTCGATTAGGCCAACATTAGTATCGTATTCTGATGCAATTACCTTTTTCTTATATTTAATCTTTAGCTTCCACCCGGGCTGCCACAGTTGAGGGAGTCCTGTAGTCTTGTTCTTGCCTCAGACAATGCCGACTCCTTCGCCCTCGAGGCTAGTATTCGATTATTGGTCGAATCAGCAATCTGTAACTACTTTTCTATAATTACTGTTGCATGGTGTTCAGATGGTCTTAAGAATGTTCCAGTGATGCGTTTCCGCTTCGTAATAATTTTTGTAGTACTTAATACCATATTCCGCTTACAATTACTGCTAGAGGCGTTTTATTATAGAGCGTTCACTAGCTCTCAGAGCACTGTGAACTGCCTTCCTTATGTTTATCATCATTAAGTTCTCTATTCATAAATCTACTTGCTTGGTTGTTGCTTACTTGTTTTCCAGTTTTGCCCTTCTCCGAGGATGAAAAAATATTCGGCTGTTTCACCGTCAGCTTTACAGGTCTAAATGAGAAGCAAACTGATCTTATTTTGCTAAAAACATACACTGAGCGATTGAGCAGCTGCGTCGACAGTGGAAGTGACACCGCATACTTTACGCTAGCACTTGCTGAATCCTTCTTGGAAACGTGTCAAGCTTTAAATGAAGGATATTTTGATGACCTACGGCAGCCTTTTGTTCGCCTACAGGAACTCTCGGTACGCGGGCTTAAAGTAGGGGAGAGGTGGCATCGGCAGGGTTTCCTAGACGTACACAGTAAGCTCAGGTTTGCTAATTGATTACAAATAGTTGTTTTTAAGTCTTGTCTGGCTTGAGTTGTTATTTTCCTGCTCAGTACATCATTACCGTATTTCGCGAAAACAAACTATTTTTCGCTCTCTATTTCTAGTATCGGCGTTGAGTGCGATCATTGCGTATGCTTTGAACGATTTCATTCGCTGTGACTTTATTCTACGGGATCGTAAGTTTATCTACTTGCCTATCTAAATTTTCATGAAGCATTGCCATGCGGACCGCTGCATTTGTCTGACTTGCTAACTCAGTGATGGACTTTTGCCGTTCAAGTTATGCACAAGTGGCTAAGGATATTACTCAGTTTACCACTTTCCCAAATGCGCCTCCAAGCACCTTGACAGACTTCCTGACTCCGCGACTCCTCTACACTCCTGTTCGTCTCTTCGGTGATTCTCTGCCCCAAGACCAAACTCCTCTTCACCGTGTGTTCGGTTGGGCTGGTTGCCTGCTTCTCAGTAACGCCGCGAAGTCGAATTTCAGGCACTTGTTAGTTCCATCAATAAGTCTCTACTCAACAGAATGTCTGGTTAGTGTGGCAGTTTGCTACTGTACTCCATGGCCTATATCATAGTTCCTTCTTTAATTTCTCAGGGTGCGAAAGAAAAACTTACTTGGCCCCTACCTCAAGCCGTTCTTTTCACGGAATGCTGTCTTCTCATAGATGATACCACAAATCTACAACATTTTGTCAATTTTTCGTCTTCCCCATCGGGTTTACTTGAAAGTTATTCCGTCGAAGTGAGTATACGAGCCAAATTGGTCAAGTTTTGGCTATCTCTGCGGTGCCGTGATTTGGATCAGCTAGCTATCCTTCAAGGTAAACGGTAGTGATGGTAACCGTGCATGCGTTGTATACCACTTACTTTCGATTTCGTCGGTTTCATACGCAACTGTTAATGGTAGGGGGTATGGGAAAATAGGGCTTTAATTACCTTTAGCTGCGTAAAAGCCTAATTATTTGGTTGCGAAATTCTTGTTTTGTAAAATGGAACGGTTTTCCCTATTTTGTAGAAATTTTGAGCCTAGGAGATGCTATAGATATTGGGTTCCCTGCGCATAACCACAACTTAGCCGGCTGGTTACTGTTGAAATTGCCTTCGGCATCGGTGGATGCAATTTTGGACCACTTTAACCGTGGGATTAAATCAGACAAAAATTATTTCGTTAATTATCTCAACATTGGCCATGCCTTTCGCTTGAGGAAACAGGATTATGTGTAAGTTCGCTCAGTGTAATTCTATGAAGTTGACTCCTTGCTTTAGTTAAGAAAAGTAATTTAGGTAAATGCACTTTCTCGACTTGTCGTTGCCCCTGTGGACTTGACGCTGAGCTGCTGAACTAATGTTTTATCTCAGAAGCTTATTGCATTAATGGCTCTGTGAATCAAATTGTTTTTCCGATCCACGAATATTACAACAGGGGTAAATCTTCCCTCAATTTTAGGCGTGCGCTTCAAGCATTTCGTCGGTCCTGGCAACTAGTTCCAGGACACCCCCAAATAGCTCACCCACTGGCTTCTACATTTTGCAAGCTGGGAAAAATCGTAGGAATTAGTTCTTTAAAAATAAAATACTCTTATTTTGCGAAACTCGTGAAGTAGACTTTGGGTCTTGTGAATGTGCAGTATCTTATGCAATCTAAACAGGGAAGTTCATGTTTTTGAAAAAATTACGCCAAATCCGTTGGTAATGCCTTATTCATCGAGCTATTACTTGAAATAAGGCCTGTTATTGCTTGATATTGCTTGTCCTTTTTTCAGGAAGATGCTTATGAAGTGTACAAAAAGACCGATCACAAGTAGGCTGAGTTTCGATTTTGTACAATTTTTGTATTTTAAGACTCTTTACTCCTGCAATGTGCCTCAACTACGGTCTAGTCGCCCTTCATTTGAAGAAACTTACTGAGTGTGTTCCAGCACTGCAAAGGGCTGTGAGATCTCAACCGATGAATCCGTGAGGGCTTTTAATTATTGCGGTAACTAATGCAGTCTAGTGGTGTGGCTGCTCTAATGCCGAATTTGTTTTTAGACTAGTATGGGAGATCCTCGGAGAGAGTTACATGGCACGGGGAAGCTTTGGAATCGCGTTGCAGTCTCTGGAAAAGGCAATTCAAGTAAATATACTGTCGTGTATTTGAGTAAAAGGACTAAGTGTCTGAATACTTTCGTCTTTTCTACTTTTCCTTCAGCTTGATTCCAATCGTTTGATGTCTCACATATTGTGAGTTTTCGAGGTGCCTTAATTAGCGCTACCCGTATTGTCGTTCTTCACAGCCCTTTCTATTCACCTAGATACGCTCAAGCCTGTACTGCTCTCTCCGACTACTCAACTGCTCTTACAGCCTACAGTCGCGTTGTAGAGCTCCTTAAGCATCAGAAGCTTCACTCTCTATCCCTTCTCGCTAACAAAGGTTTGCCAAGAAAATCATTATTTTATTCCTTTGGTTAGATGAGGAATGACTCTTACTTGAAATTTCAGGGCTAATTGAACTAAACGTGAAATTAGCTGCACAGGATTTAAATAGTGGAATGCGAACGACAGCGATTCACTATATCGAAACTGCACTTTCTTACGGTTCGAGGTAATCCCATTCGCTTGTTTTTTTAATGATTGGCTAGCTCAAGTATTTTTGAAGTAATATTAGAAAACGTCTTTGATGTAAGCTGAAGCAAAGTTTTGTTTTTGCTAAAATTTAAAGTGAATTCACAATTGAAAGTTGTATCCATGGTAGCTACGACTAACTGCACCTTCACGGTATCACTTCACAATTTTCGCAAGTAAGCTAAGATTTGCACTTTAATTGCATCATATTAACTTTTTCGGGTGTATATTACATATTCGCAAGTGTGAATGAATTAAGGGCAATGTCCACAATGTTTAAAGCGACCAAGAATGTACGTGTAATTGTCTCCTAATGCGCGTTTTCCAAATTGTGATGGATCCATTTCACCTAAGTAGCATTTTATTGGTGTACCAATGTATTCCGGAGCCTCTCGTGATTGTGGTGATTACATTGTGGCTACTAGAATTTGGTATAATATGGTTTTTTACAAAGTAAATTCTCTGGAGTGCCGAGACGCCGCACTCTAACTGTACTTGGTTTAAAAGTTTTCTAGTAAGTTTTACTAATAATTCAGGACTTTTGGAAGTACTGATGAGTATCAAACCTTGCAAAAAACTACTGAAGATGGTGTTCTGGTTGATTTTTAACATTACTTAACCACTCATTTCTTTCGTGGCTTCAGTATTCTCCTATGTATGCCAACCAGCATACCTCAGTGGCTCTGGTACCACATTGGCTATGCACTGAGTCTTCTTCTTGCCTTTCATGACGCCAATTTAAAGTGGGTTTATGCCTAACCTACTTTCATTTTTAGCAACTTTCAGTGGTATTATTTTTTTTTAATCTAGAGTTCGCGTTCCAAAAGTTTTTGTGAGTCTCTTGAGGCATCCTCCAAAATCTGGAGAAGATAAGACAATATGTCTACTAGGGATAACTTCCTGCATTGATATCTCTAGCATGTAAGTCTTTGGTTGGAGAAAAGCACACAATTAAGTAAAGTTTTGAGTTATTTACTTTATTAATGCCCAATCCCTTTCCCATCTCTTACTGTCCATTTCCAAATGTTTTTGTTAGATTACTGTCATTATCGAGTTCATCAGATCTCCTGCCTCATCTATTTTTTCGCATTTCTATATCCGAGGATGTGTAGGCTTCTCACTAAGTTAAAAAGCTATATTTTTTTCTAAGTACTACCATTTTACACTTTACAATACTGAAATGGCACATTTAGTGGCCTAACAAAATGCCATTGTCCCCAGAATGCTGTCCCTTTTTCTCAAATCCTCCACTGACGCTGCAGTGGGACGTGAGACACTCCTTGCGTGGATATGCTTGGGCTTGCTGGAGCTCTCGCGGGCTAATTACACCCAAACAGGAGACGAAGGAGAGGTAGCCAGACCGCTCTTTGGGAAGTTCATGTGTTTCACCAAAGCTAGCCAGCGCTACCTCTTGCAATCGGAGGCATGCTTCTTGAGGGCTCTCCAAGTTTGCAAACAGCTGCAGCCTGGTAACGATCAGCTGGCTGCGCTCGCATGGTTTGGCATGGGCTCCGTCCTCGCCTTGGGGGGAGGTGTGTTCACCCCATCTAATGACTGTCCTTTCCGTAATGCTTGCTCACATCGCATATTACTCACTACCTTGAAGTTGACGCCCTTTATTTCACCCTGCATACCTCCAAATATAACTTCTTAAACTAGGTAGTTTATTAACAGAATAAATTACCTTTACTTATAATGCTCGTATTATTTGCAGATTTAGTGGCGAGACAATCAGCTTATTGCTTTGCAATGGCCTTTTCACTCTGCGGTCAGGTAAACTGTTTGTCTTTTCTTCGCTTATTGTAAACCTCTTCATTCATGTTCTACCATTATTTTTTATGATTTTCATACAGATGGCATTAGTATTTATTTGTTTCTTTAAGAGATGAGCTTTACTTTGGGCTTCAGCGTATCCTATTTGTCATTCTCTTGCAGTTTTTACACGCCGGCGTCTCTCTTGCGTCGAAACTCCTGGAAATAAATCGAAAACAGGTGGGTTTGCTGTTACGTACTCAAATATTGTCAGTATTTTTCTCGCAATTTCATATTTTTAAATCCCCACTTTATCATGCTAACAACTTTAGCGATGTCATCGAGAGTTGTTTCAACGCCTAAATTTGGCATAGTGTGTGGAAATAATAAGGTCGAAGACACAATTTCATGCTTTTTATGGGAGCTATTGTCATTTCTTCTGGTATTTTTATTGGAACTGTCCCTCTGTCTTCGTTTATTGATGTTTAAGGATGCATTAATGCCTGTCCCTTTCTCCCCTCCTCGCCTGCAAATCGGTGTCTGCAGGACGCGCGTCGTGTTCTGGATGTGTGCCAGCGAAAAGACTTCCAGCATCACGGATACTGGCTTGTTATGGCCCAACTAGCCTCTGTTAATTCCCAACAGACTGCTTCTGTTACCAAGTTTGGCGAGCCAGGTGAAACCCAGTATCTCCTACAGTCTGTCAGCTGTGGATTTAATGTATGTTTCGTTATTGGCTCCCTTTTTCTTTACCATCGAAAACTAGGTGTTGGGTTGTTTCGCTTAAGCAACGCAAATCTATTGTCTTTGCCTTCACCCTTTAATTTCCATTCACTATGAGTATTAAAGTGCCAGCACCGTGCTAGTTCTGACTGCTCGGCATTTGTTTAGCTGGACGCGATGTGGCACATTCTGCCGAGGGTCTTCCAGTCTTTCAAGAGGTCTTCCACTACCGAAGCCAGCGGTTATGATGAGGAGAGCATAAAGTGGTCACGTCTGACTGCGGCTGAATATCTCAACCGATGTTTAGGCAAGTCGCCCGAATCACGGCTCAGGCCGTTCTTATCTAGCTCGTGAATTCCATATTTAAACACTTAATCACTAGTCACTTTCATGGGATGTTTTGATTCGCCCTTTATTATCACCATCAGTATTTTTGCTCACTGGAGATGTCCATCGCTTGAAATGTTTCTCGGACATTTAGTCTTTTGGGGATTTAAGTTACATACCGACTCTAAACTTGCAACCTGTTGTAATGTGTATGCTCTCAAGTAAATGTGCCCTTGATGTGTACACTTACAACTTCTGATTAAATTCAATCATTACTTTTATCATCTAGCATTTTATCCGAACGATTACCGTCAATGGCATGATCGAGGTCTCTTGCTTCATTTATCCGGTCTTCCCCATCCAGCACACTATTGCCTCAGGCGGCAAGTTTCTTGCTTTAATTTGGATGCGCATTACTTCACCATTTTGCCAACTGATCAAGATTTATCCGTCACGGATTTTGATGATGATGTTAATTAGTTTAACTTAAACAGTTTTGTGTAATTGAACTTAATGTAACATGTTTTTGTGTCCCGTCTGTTTAACTGTAGTGCCTATGATCTCCTCTCGGTGTTCACACCAACTGACTATGAACGTCTCACTGTGAAGGCCCATTACTTTCTTTCTTCCTGCAGTCAGTAAGCTGCAATATCTCTCTCTCGCTATTTCCCGGTGTCTAACTGTTTCTCCCTACCAAACCGTCGGAGTATTTCGTCTGTTTTAGAGGAAAACTCGACCAATCTTTGTGTGAGGAGTTTCAGGCACTTGCAGCTGACTCGCCTGTTGGTTGTGGAGTTTGTGCTGCTACAGCCCTTGCTAACCTTTTCAAGGGAAACTCAGATGCGACTAGAAACAGTTTGTTTAATTTTTATGATTGATCCTTAACAAGCTATGTGTTTTTTTTCCGAACAATTTGTACGCTGTCTCGAAGGTTCGAGCTAATGCTTTCAATTTTCTGCACTACTCTATGTTTTCGTCATGTTGCCCCACAATCTTGTTATGAATATTTGATATTTGTAGTTACTGAGTGGAAATCTATGTTAACAAACCCGATACAAAGGACTGAAGGCATATTAGGACAAATTAATTTTAACGTGTCCTTTTGTGTGAGTACCACACACTACAATCGATCTCTGTTTCAGGCCTCGTAAGGGCCTATCGAGCCGCAGGCATGGAGGTTACTCTCGGTAGTCTGAGCTGCCTGGCACCGGCCCTTTTGCATGCTGCGTTGCCTTCGGAGGTGGAGGGGTTATGGGAGGAACTAAGTTCCTTTTCAGTGGATCCCATTCGACGCCTCGTCATCGCCGAGGGTCTGCACGTAAAGCCTCCCTCCCTAGCTCTCCACCACTTGAGCGCCTTCCTCAGTCACCCATCCTACGGTTATGAGTACTTTTTGTTTCAAGTGGGTTTTGTGCTTAGCCATCTCTTGTCAGACATCAGTGCTTCTGTGGGTTCTTTAACTTTTTTGGTGCGTAAGGCTTAAATGAGCGAGCAAGTCTCGAATGTTAAGGCCGTAATGTGTATTTTAAAGTGCATATTATCTGTTTTGACACTTAATCACTATACTTATCTATTTTGGAGACCCTTATTTTCTGCTGTGCTTCTGATCTACACCTTTAGTTTCGTAACTCATCGACCACTGAGCACATTAGACATCTTCTTACCTTGAGCAAGACATGGGCTCTTTTGCGACCCGATTCGGAGCCTGTCTGGACCCTGTTGGCGGCAACGCTACGTCTGTACTCCAGACTACAAGGTGTCAAGCCGAAGTCCAGGGTGGCTGCACGGGAGGGTGCAGTCGCGTCCCTCCTCTCTGCTTTTACGGTCCGTTCGCCCGACCCCACCTCTGAGGTATTTGCTAAACTTATTGTCGGCTTTGTCACTAGACTTTTGCTGTTAAGCTGGATTGGTTTCACTTTGCTCAATTTCAGGATTGATGTTGGTGGATCAATATCTGAAGCTCTTATCAGTATTAAAACGTATTTTATTCAACTCACGGAACTAATTTATGAGAAGAGCGGCGAAATGTCTGATTACATTTTATGAATTTGGATTTTTCTGCTTTCGATTAATTGCTATTACCTGTTGATGCTATTATAGGATCTCCTTATGCGAATAGTTTTCATTCGATTATAGACCTTGACACAAGAACTTGTTCATTTTGTGAAAAGTACAACTCCAAGTGAACGAAGCGTCTTAAAATCCTTGAAACCACTTGTGTTGATATGCGCGCTATTCTTCCCATACGTCTGTGGAGTTATTGAGGCTCTTTACTGTGTCTAGCTGAATTTGTATTTGTTTTTTTTTAATATAAATTCTTCCACATTCATTTTTTATGACATCGCAAATAGGATAAAATGGAAAATTAACTGGTGTTTCAGAAGGTTAGTTAGTAGGTCAACCAAAACTTGGTACCGGCTTGGAGGCATCTAAGAGCTGGGCCTTAAGTCCGGTGGTCGGCGATTCTTTGGTGCGTTTGTTGTGTGTGTCATAAGTGCTTGTTTTTGTGTTATTCAGTTAGACTAAAACATCCGTGGTTTAAATTTAGTATTTAAAGCCGAGGTAAAAGAACTTAGGAAGGTCGTAGTCTGTCATTTAGTGGGGTGGGGGGCACTCATCCTGACTTGTGGGTAATTTTTCTACTAAGTACTAACCCCATTAAGTCGAATGCTTGCCTAGTTTTTAGCTCCAGCAGGTCTATGCTCCTCCAAAAACCGGTTTAAGATCTTATCGCCATCTCCAATTTTGATACCTACTGTGCAGTTAATGCATACTCCTGGCTATGTAAAATCTAACTCTGCACCTAAAATTAGCATAAGCTGAAGATATTTTCACGTAAGAGGATATGATCCAGATAGGATCTGTTGTCTAACATATAGGTATTGGTAGTGCAGCACAGCTGCAATGGTCTGATAGATTGTTTAGCTCTGCATTTGGCTACGCGTATGCGTAAGCCTCCACAGGTTTTACCCCCACTCCACGGTATGGCCTCTAGACCAGTCCTGTGGCCTCGGATCTTCTGAACATCAGTAGTATATTTTCTGCTATACTACCGTAACTTCTTACGAGTGCAGGAAAGATTTGGTCTGCTGCACTGGTGTCAGTGGCAAGCAAACCCTACCCTAAAGGGTCATCCTGATTTCCATTGCTGATTGCTAAATAGCGTTACAGAAGAATATCTATCGCTAGAGCGAATTTGTGAAGAAGATTGTGTCTGCCTTCGGCAGTTACTCTAGTCCTGCTTTTTGCGGGAATGTTGTTAACATCTGAATTGATACTAGCCGTGGAAAGTTTAGTACGGAGCTGTCTACGGTGCCTACATAAAAATCTCAATCAAGTGAACACGTGATGCCTCCTCCACTTCTCTATTAGCTATACAGAACCCAGTCGAACACTTTCGCTGGACAGTGCTGAAGTGTGAATATAGTGGCAGGAAGTAGGCGCTAAACATCGTCTTCATAATGCTATTTTGAATTCGTCTCTCGCCGAATGAATGACTCGGCTCTTGGACCAGCGCCTCACGACAAGCGATGGAAATACGAGACGGCCTTGTTGTGGTGCATCACCCGGTCCCAAACAGTACAAGGCGGAGCGTTCCTCTTTTGCTTAATGCCGTTTCTGTACGGAACAAAACCCCAAATCCAATAGAATCGACAAGATTTATCAGTTGCATGTAAATTCAATGAGTGGTGCGGCTTGTTTATGGATATTTTTGTAGCACCAACTATGTTATGATAAGCGATGTGGGCAGTTAACCCTCAAAAGAATTAAGGGGCTATGCAATTCTTTGATAAATCGTTTAACTCTGCATTTGGTTGTGCGGGCACTTAGGTCTCCACATATTGTACTTGATGACATGACCTCCGGGACATACCGATAGCCCCAGCTCTTCTGTGCATCAGTTACACAATTCCTGCTATCCTACTAAGTCTTCTTACTACTTCAGGAAATACTCAAGGCGCCACATTTTAATTACTAATCTAAGAAGTCCTTTGCAAATAAACATATTGCAGAACATTAACGCTCGAAAATCAACACAGCGGATAAGGAAATGCGTTCTTGAGAAAGTATTCAGTTTTATGCCAGTTGCAAAATGCTGATAATGATAAAACCATCGGCATTTCTTCAAGGTTATTGTGGGGTTTGTCATAACAAATGGCCTCTCAGGTGAGTCGGAATTTTTCTAGTGTGGTTTCCAAGATTTGCGGGAATGCGGTCATATTTTGATCTTTTTTCATTATTTTTCACATTTCTTCTAAAAGAACATACGAGTTCAGCACATCTTATGGTAGCCGGTACCATTAAATTGGTGTTTTTTTCTTGTGTCTTTTGCCTTTTTTATACAGATTTACAATTTCGAAATTGAAATGACATGTGAGGGGTGTGCTAGTGCAGTGAAGAGGGTTTTGTCAAAGCTTGGAAATGCTGTTTCTGCTGTACACACAGATGTCGACAAAAATACCGTCACGGTGACTTCCACTCTCCCTGAGAAAACTATATTGGAAACACTTCAGAAGACTTCCAAGCCCGTTAAAGTTATTCACTAAACGTTGATATTTTGTCTTGGTTCCTATTACCTTTGATACAAAGTCTGTATCTTTTTCATTGATTTGATTTTTTTGTTCAGTGTTGTAAATTCTGCTCCCTCTTACGAATTCTTTTGTACTTTCACACTAATTTGCTTATTTTCGTGTGACTAAAGTATTCAAAAGATTTATCTTCTCTTTGTCTTCTAATTATTTTTGCCTAATTTGGAATCTATGTACTGGTGAAACGCGTTTCAGCCAAAATTCAGTTCCTTTAAAGTCTTATGTTGGTTGAGCACTTTAGCACACTCCTCAAATTGCACCTGTGCTAGCAATTCTACTGTCTTGTGAACAATTATTTTGCCATTTCACTCTTAGTATTCTATAATTCATTTCAAGTACTTGGGTAAACCCGTGTCTGATATTGTAGTTTCCTTGCATTTGGTCTGCACAAGTTACTCATTTTGCTTACGGTCAAGTTGTGTTTTCTTGTATCTTGATATTTTGGTAAACACTGGCCTCATTCGTCAAGTAATTGGCGTAAATGTTGGGCAAGGTTCTCGTGAGAGGACACCCTAAATCAGAATACGTTTTCTATATATTGATTATTCCATGCTTTTCTTTGTGACATATGCCTTCTATTATTGTCAACCTTAATTTCGCTTCCATTTGTATTCGTTGGTCAAGCCAACTTCATTGGTTGACGTCCTATTCTGCGTCATAAGTTTTACAGTTGAGATAATAGTCGCTTACTAATTTAGTTCCGCATTCAAATACCACTTATCCAGATTCCATTTTGTTGCAGGGTTACCCGTTTGTCTTTGGTATCTGTTTGATATCTGCCCTGAAATCTATTCGCCTATCTCAAAATCCATACAACTGGTTCTGTGGGCTAATGGGAAAACTGAGGGCTGATTCCTGATTAGTTGAGGGGCTGGGTCATAGGCAGTTTCTGGCCTACATTCATAATCGTTTCTTGTCTAATGCTTCGAACTCACGAATTGACCTAGTTTACCGTATAGGGGACCCGTTTCCAGCAAGCTAATAGAGAGTGACTTCTTTCATACGATCATCGAATAGTTCCAGTTCTGAAGATGAACACCAATTGCGGTGATTTGGTGTAGTGTTCCTGTGTATTTAACTGTGCAGGTTACCCTGTCTTCGCGGGCTACAATTTCGTTCGGCAGTATGGCGTTTCACTTTTACCAACCCTTCTGTATGTTAGTAATAAAGCCTCGTGTCACCCCCTATTACGAATCCGACAAACATGTTTGCATGTTGTGAAAATTGGGTTTTGAACTAAATTTGGTAGAAAGGATTGCCATCATCAAACGTGTTACTTCAGAAATTCCTGACAGACTTAATGCGAGCACAGAAATTGAGCAGTGAGAACCTTTGGCCGAAATTCATTTAGTATTTTAGGAGTGATAAACTAAGTTCTTCTAACGATGCATTAATAGATAAATGAGGACGGAGCTTATAGTCCGGCAGCTCCTATCAAAAGTGGCTGAATTATCAAGTGGAAAGTTCGGACGGTGGGTATTCAAATGGCAATTGCGCTGGACATTACACTATCAACGTTCGTCAGTAAAAAAACCTTAATGGCTATTTTTTTGCCTCGGTTGTCAGAAATTCACCCTACAGCGTAAATTAATACAAGAAAGTGGCTTAACATTTGCGGTTTCGTCAGAGAAATAAACATTAAAGGACGCCAAGCATGACAAAAGCCTTGTAAAAAATTAAATAAAGTCTTTTTGACAGTCTTTAGGAGGTTAAAAATTTTCAGCACAATATCGTCTTAATATGCAGTTAGTATTTTTGTTCTGGTTATAAATTTACAAGCGCGCAAAACGAGTAATACATGCCTTTTTTAAGTCTAAATAGCATAAATAGGAATATTAAATCTCTTTTACTACTTCGAAGGCTTTTCGATAGTACCTCCCAGGGACATCCTAGACTAGAATTTTGTTTACATCACCCAGAACGGGTCTAGGCGCGTTGCTTTGTTGGTCGTGCACGTGCCACTGCTTTCTACCTCGTGGGGTGTGACTTGGTCTTTTTGTTTATTCGCCATTTTCACCTGGGGCTCCTGATACTCGACCGTCTTTCCCGGGAAGTTGATTCCGAGTTATTTAAAAGTGCTTCTTTATCCCGGGTCCTTGTTTTGATGCAACTGTTGACCTCTTGAGAGATGTGTCGATCTCAGGCAAAGGTAGGTA